CGCCCTTCAAAAAAGTGGAGAATAAGAGTGAGGCCATTGACAAGTGAACACAGTCATTCTCGCATTAAAACCAGTGGGACATCCAAGGGAAAGGAGCGTCTGTTGTCAGTTAGATTGTGTAGAATTTAGCCAGTACTGGATTAGGAGACCGGTACCTGCTGAATGGACACGCACTTCATCTCTGTCCGGCAGCATCCAGACGTCATGTCTAACACTGACTTGAAGCCGTTTTTGTATCGTCAAATATGCTGTTTGAAAGTAGCTTTTGTTTTGAAATGAGGAAAATGTTTGCTTGTATAGGTTGTATATAGGTAAACAAGTGGACAATACAATTGAAAAGGATTTCAGGAAAAAATTACTGGTGTCTGGTGTCAGTCATATTTGAGTCACATCATGAAAATAAGATTAAATGAAAAGTAGTTTATGAACATCTGTTGGTTGTGTAAATCTGCACTCTGGGGAGGAGGCTGGAGAGCAGGATGGGAGGAGAGAGGAGAATGAGACAAAAGATGAACTGAGAGAACCGATCAGGAGCTGTTCCATGGCTGGGACTACTCTGGTGGCTTGTTTTCACTCTGATGTTGTCAAAAGAGTGGCACAGTAAATGAGAGTCAGTCAGTGAGTGAAATTGGGACATTTCTACCATATTTTAGGCTACCCCCCCCGTCACAGCAGAAAACATAGGCATGCAGAACTTGTACACGTGTCCAATGTGACACAATGGGACAATTAATCAGGAGAGCTCTAAGTGCAAACGTTCAGTGGGAAGTGCTAATATATCAGCCCTGAGAGCCAATAAAGTTAACTGGACAGCTGGTGTCATTCAGATCACAGCGTCTCTGTCTCTGTGGGTCCGGCTGAAGGCTCCGTGTACAGTGTGCTCCTGCTCCTGGGAGGAGTTCACCAGCAGAGAGAAACACTGCACCTTTAGCAGCACGACATATATCCAAGTGCCACAGTGTGAGAGACAGTGGGCAGGGAGCATCTGCACAGTTACAGTTACACACACACACACACACATCTGTGTGTGTGTGTGTGTGTGTGTGTGTGTGTGTGTGTGTGTCCGCGAGCACGTGTGTGTGTGCGCATTTATGTGAAATTTGCTTAAGCAACACCATACATCTGTGTGGTGAAGATTCTCTGAATTGAACTGAGAAGCATGACCCCTGGGCCTTGGCAGGTAACAGGAAGTGCTTTCCACAGAGGCAGACATTCTCAGCTGACAGGAGGCGGAGTGTGTTCGCGACCGCGCTGCCGAGTGACCACGCTTTCACCTTCAGGTGGCTGTCTGTTTTTAACCCCGCGCTTCCCGCACGTCTCTTCAGCTGCGGGAGGCTGTAATACCTCACGCTGATGAGCCTGGATGCAGCCTTTTCTCTGCTGTAATGTGAGCAGCGTGTGGGTCAGTGGGAGTGGCCTCCCTGAGTCAGCTGACCCTGCGGGTGGGAGAGGATTGGCCCTCAGGCGGCACCTCCGTCAGCACCTGCACCGGCAGGTACAGAGAGGAGGGACCGCAGTGCACCTGGTGCTGAGCCGTCCTTCTCTGTGCAGTATAGAGGCAGGGTGGAGTCTCTGCTGATGGGGGTTACTGCTGCCTTTGTATTACTGTCTTTGTAACAGAACAGTCTACTGGCTGGGCACTGTTACAGCCAGTTTCCTTTTCTGTCTTTACAGTGTAGGTCAGAGATCATCGCCTCCCTGATTGATCTCTCTAGTGACAGTCTTTCCTCTGTCTTCCAGTTACTGTGGCTTCTCTCTCTGATCATTCCAGTGTAGTCCAGTGACTCTCTTTTCTCTTTCTCTGCAGTGCATTCCAGTGTCAGTTTCTTCCCTCTATCTGGATTGTAGTCCAGTGACTGTTTAAACGTACAACCTACATCTGCAAATATTTTCTCCATTTCAAAACACAAGCTACTTCGAAACAACATATCTGATGATGTCACTTCCCGCTTAAATTTCTCCGGTATAGTCCAGCGATTCTCTTTCCTCCATCTGCAGTGTAGCCCAGTGACCATGTCTTCCCCTCTCTGATCTCTGCAGTGATCCGCTCGCCGGCTGCCCGGCAGGGGGCTGGCTGGCTGGGGTTTAGTTTGGTGTGTAATGAGTGGAGTCGGGGGGGTCGCACAGCTGCAGTCTGAAGGCCTCTGACCGGCGCTCTCTCGCCGCGTGAGGCCCGCTCCTAATGAGGCCACCAGGAGGAAATTAAAGTCGGCAGCTAATTGTCGGGGCTTCCTGTCTCGGGCCATTTGTCTGCGCTGGTGCGGAGTGGAGCCCCCCTCCCCGTGCAGCGGGCTGAAAGGCTGTACTCAGGGATCAGTCAGACCGTGGACGGCACTCTGCGCATCTCCTCAGTGGGAAATACGCTCTCTCTCTTCCTCTTTGTCATTACTGACATTACTGTACCCTTGCTCCATTCAAGTACCTCACTCCAGGGTGCCATCTAGGATTCAAACCTGTAACCTGGTAGTCAGAAGGCCAGCTCACTCACCACCACATTGCAGGAATTCCTTTCATTACATTACATTATTGGCATTTAGCAGATGCTCTTATCCGGAGATTACAATTTTCTTTACGTTATCCATTTATACAGCTGAATACTTACTGAATAAAATTCTGAGGCAAGCTGAGCTTGCCCACGGGTACAGCAGCAGTGCCCCAGCAGGGAATCGAACCAGCAACCTTTTGGTTATGAGCCCTGCTCTTTACCCATGTGCTACACTGCCACCCCCTAATGTTCTCCTCGTGAAGGCAGTGCAGCTGTACTTGCATAGACGCTTCCATGTCGGTTGTGTTGTGTTCCTGCTGGTTGACGTCCTCTCTCCCCCTCTCTCTCTGCAGTCTCCACCTGCATCACCACCTGTAAGAAGACAGCCCCGCCCCCCGTGCCCCCCCGCACCACCTCCAAGCCCTACATCTCGGTGACGGTGCAGAGCAGCACCGAGTCGGCGCAGGACACCTACCTGGACAGCCAGGAGCGCAAGAGCGAGGCCAACAGCCAATCGGGGCGCAGCAACTCGTCGGACAGCCTCGACAGCGCCCGGGCCAGCAGCCTGGCCAAGGGCCACCGCGGCCCCGCCCCGGCCCCGCCCCCGTCGCCGCCCCCGACGACCCCCGCCGCCCGACGAGCCCCGGCATGACGCCCTGAAGAGCGCCAAGGGGACACTGACCGCCGAGGAGCCCCGAGCCGAGATCGTGCCCCGGAGGAAGCTCTCGTCCATCGGCATACAGGTCTGCACGCTCGCAGATGCGCTGGCGGCCCTGGGTTTGCTCTCTGATCTGGGGAGGCGTAGCAGCCGGTGCTGTTTACGGCCTGTTGATTGGCTGATTTACCCGGCAGGGAGCATCCCAGATTGGGAGTTAGACTCCAGCCTGCAGCATGTCAATGGCATGAAGATGATGTTTTCTGTTGGTGCTGTAACGTTGGGTTAGTGCTTAAGTGCTGGGTCGGTGCTGTAATGTTGGGTTGGTGCCGTAATGTTTGATTGGTGCTGTAATATTGTGTTAAGGCGTTGCTATATGATTGGTTGGCAGGTGGACTGTGTTCAGGCAGTGCAGCAGAAAACAGAGGAGACCCCACCGCTGACCAGGTTCCAGTCCATCGGAGTGCAGGTGGAGGACGGCTGGCAGTGAGTAGAGACCCGTTTCACTCTGCTTCCCCTGCTTCCCCCTGCTTCCCTCTGCTTCCCTCTGCTTCCCTCTGCTTCCCTCTGCTTCACTCTGCTTCACTCTGCTTCCCTCTGCTTCACTCTGGAGCTCACACCTGCGTGCAGCTTTCTACAGCCTTCTTACTTCAGCCACTTCTGAATGCAAGGGCGAGAGGCAGAGATAAGTCTGTACTGCCTGTGTGCAAGTGTGAGTCTCGCAGAATTCAAACACACTTATGTAAGTGCACTTACGTAACTGGCTAGTTTTGAATGTGAGAGAAGTTTCTTCAGTTGTGTGAGCGACTCTCAAGCAGAAGATTTGAAAGCCTTGTTTTAAATACTGCTCACCTTGGCTAAGCGTGGTGTTTCTGAAGTGCAGTGCATGTGAAGAATCCCTCTCTTTGGGTCCAGTAGATGCAGATTCATGCACTCTTACTTCCCAGCGACTGTCCAGAGTGTCATGTTTCAGTTTAGATTTCCGCCTCCCTTTTGGGCCGTCCTTTTCCACTCGAATTTCCAGCGATGGGACATTTTCCCCCGTTTGTCACCTCCCGCCCGGCGTCTGAGCCGCGGGCTGCGACGGCAGGACCGGCGCCAAGGTCACCCGGCGGTCGCAGACCGCGCCGGCGGCCAGGCCAGTCTGGGCTGGGCGAGGGCGCCCCGCTGCTTCGGTCCGAACCGCAGCGTAACGGGACACCCCGATACAGCCCCCGCCGCTGTCATTAGACTGACATCGATCGCTGATAAGACCTAAATGGGGCCCCTGATAGTGTCACTGGCAGAGTGTCAGAGGACTTGATCGTGTGTCCCCTTTTAGTCTTTTAGTAGTTTAAACACGCACGCTGTTTGGAGATACCTCGCTCTGTGTGTCACGGACTCCCTCTGTCCTTCTCTCTAACTCAGTTTTCCTGGGGGTGTGTCTCATGCATCCACAGCACCCCCGGCCCTTGCACACCCAGGGTCTGCTTCAGTCCTGCTCATCAGTGATGGTTCTGGGTGCTGCTGCACTGCGTCCTGATGAAGCCCTTATCCTCTATTATTCTGGGGTGGCAGTGTAGCACAGTGGTAAGGAGCAGGGCTCGTAAATGAGATGTTGCAGGTTCAATTCCCCATTGCGGAAATGCTGTTGTCCCCTTGGACAAGGTGGCTCAGTAAATATCCAGCTGTATAAATGGATAACATGTTAAAAACGAATTGTAATCCATGTAAGTCGCACTGGTTAAGAGGGTATGTTAAATAACAATAATGTACTATTCATGTGTGTCATTTAGCAGACACTTATCCAGAGCAACTTCCACAGGTTACAGTTTTCATGTTATCCATTTATACAGCTGGATATTTACTGAGGAAATTCAGCAACAGCACGGGGAATCGAACCCGCAACCTTTCGGTTACAAGTCCCGCTCCTTACCGCTGTGCTACACTGCCATCCCTTTTTGCTGTGTCCCTCCACCCCGCGTCACTCACCCCCTCCTCCCCGCGTCCCTGTGTACACAGACTCAGCCGGTCCAGCAGCATGGCGTCCAAGCAGGAGACGGACTCCGACACACAGGACCTCCCCAATGCCCGGCCCGCGGAGAAGACCACAGCGAACAGCGCCTGCCAGTCGACGGACTGCCCCACCCCGCCCCACCACCGCCCCCAACCCCCGCAGGGCAACGGCGAGGGCGGGGCCGGCGCCCGCCAGCCGCCCAGCCGCACCACCACCCGCAGTAGCTCCTCCTCCTTCTCGGAGAGCCTGGACCCGGCGCTGGACCCCTCCTCCCTGCCGCCGCCCGACCCCTGGCTGGAGAGCGGGAACAGCAGCGCCCCCTGCGGGCCGGCACAGCCCGGCTCCGCCCCCGCTGCCTGCCGCCGCGACGGCCACTGGTTCCTGAAGCTGCTGCAGGCCGAGACCGGCCGCATGGAGGGCTGGTGCCAGCAGATGGAGCAGGAGACCAAAGACAACCAGCTGTCCGAGGAGGGTAAGGGCCTCCGGGGGTCGCCGAAACCCACTGCGCCTCAGCACAGTGCAGGCTGATCCAGGATCAGTTTCACCATTGGTGCACTCAGTTCATAGCCATCACTACCTACACTACTGACTAGGGCTTTATAGTGGGGGTCTTTGCCATGGTTGATGGCCAACCAAGGGTACAACGGCAGTGCCCCAGCAGGGAATCGAACCAGCAACCTTTTGGTTATGATCCCTGCTTCAGCCCTGAACCTGCTACTCTCTAGCACAGCTGTGGGCTGATCCAGGATCAGTTTCACTGAGCTACACAAAACCAGAACACACAATAACATGGCACAGATACAGCATAAGAAGGCCATTTCACCATTGGTGCACTCAGCTCATAGCCATCAATACCTACACTACTGACTAGGGCTTTATAGTGGTGGTCTTTGCCATGGGGGATGGTGTAAAGATTACTTTTTTTGTTTTTGTCACAGTTTTGATTTATACTCTGCTGTAGCTGAGTGGTTATCACCGCTCTTCGAGCTACAGCTGTTTCACTCTTGTAACTGCTGTGTTCAGTAAATCATCTCAGACGAGGTGCTCAGCCAAATAAGGAGAGGAGAGGATTCAGTTCAGTTGAAGTCCTCATGGCCAAGTGATTTAAATGTTTGATTCTGTAATCCCCAGTAAGATGTAAAACTCTGTGGGTGGGTCTGCAGCCCTCTCTCTCCAGGAGCTCCAGATTGGATCCAGCCCCCCCACAGAGAGGAGTCTGAGAGCTGGGTGGCCAGACCACTCCATGTCACTACACTCACTCCTCTCTGAATGAGTTTCTAATACCTGAGCCCAGCAGACAGGGCAGGCGTGTAAACCCCAGAATTACAGTAATCTGCTCTGGGCCCGATTAAAGGAGCAGATTAGGGCCTAAACATCAGGCTTGAGATGGCAGCAGTGTAATGACCATCAGAGACCGGTCCTCCCTGCTGCATCCCCCCCAGGGAAAGGGTCAGACGCAGGCAGGCGCGTCTCACAGGCCGAGAGGAAGGCGGTCGAAACCGCACGGCATTAAACTGGTGAGCTGTCGAGAGGGAGGAACGGCAGGCGTCAATCAACATCCGCACCTGTCATGAATATTCGATCAGTGTGACTTGGCCTGTCATGAATATACGATCAGCGTTGCGCGGGACCGGCGAAGCACCTGGTCTGGCGCTGTAATTTCATTGCCCGTAACTCCGTAACGCTCTGATCTGATTTCAGCGGTGCAGACTCTTGGCTGACCTAGTTTTCCTCCCAGAACTGAAAGTGTTGAGCAAAGTATTTGCCCAGGCTTATGTTTAAAGTGGATAAAAAAATCTCCACCTCGCTGTTTAATCTACTTGTAGACATTGGTGTTCCCAGTGAGTCGTGTTGCCTTTAGAAGGACAGTCTAAATGTGAACTATAGTGTGTTGCATTTGTTTGGTGAGTGTGGACCCGCAGTATAGTTCAGAGTAGTTTATACAGTAGAGTTTAACATACTGTTGCGTTTGCTTCATCACCTCTTTGAATTGTTTAACTGTGCACGATAAGTGATCTGTTAAGCACAGCTGACAGAGCTAGAACATTAGCCTGGGAGGATCTCACCAACTGTTAGTCCTCTCTTGATTCTTCAAAGGTGTGACGAATCCTCTAGATTTCAGCTTTGCATTTTCCATCTATCCCATTAGGCCCAAGAGGTGATTGGTGTAGGTCCTGCACTGTGTGGGGGGAGTGTGTGAATGTCAGGCCTCATTTCCGCAAACGCACCAATGTTACAGTAAGCTGTGTCCATTTACAGATGCACCAGTGTTACAGTAAGCTGTGTACATTTACAGACACACTAGTGTTACAGTAAAATGTGTCCATTTACAGATTCACCAGTGTTACAGTAAGCCGTGTCCAGATTTACAGCATCACTGCTCCACCTCAGGATGTGTCTTTGCTTGACTAACGCTGACCGTTCCTCACTGTATAATGACCGGAAGAAATAGGAAATAAGACACCATTAGCGTCCAGCAAACCTCCCCCCCCCACTCAAGATAAACGAACACGGTTCCAGACAGGCAGGAGTCAGTTACCCGTCCATTCTGTCTGCTTGAGTTTCTAATCTAATCGGGCCTGTAACGGCTGCGGACCCTGCGTCCTCCCCATCGACCGGGATCCGGCCCCCTCTCTACCCCCTCCACACCCCCCCCCCAGCCCCTGCTGCAGCAGGCCCTGCTCCTGGGGAGCCCCGCCCCGCTGTGGGGCTATTTCTGTCCCGATCGCCCACCCTCTCTCCAGGAGTCTGGCTGCCGCATCATGGAGAGACAGAGAGAGAGACCAACACAGACACGCCCAGAGAGGAAGGATGCTAACCTTTAAAAGAGCTGTATTCAACAGCTGTTAACAAGAAACCTAAGCCATAGACACAAATAAGTGACCACAAAAAACCCAAATGCATGCAAATCCAGATATCCAGATAGGAGACGGAGAGAGAGGAGAGAGAGACTGGCAGGGATGGGTTGTGTGAGTCGAGATATGGGTCTACACTTCATATCTAAAATGAACAGAGAGGGGGGATTTTGATTGGAGTGGCCACTCATGAGGACGGCTCAGTCTTTGTGAATGCTTCCATTCACAGGTGAAGACTCTCCCTGCAGAACTTGCCACCAGTATCAGTAAAACCAGTATCACAGGCACCACCTTGAAAGAGTTTATTACAGACAGACCTGGTTGCCTGGGCTCGGACAGCCATGTTTGTGTGTCTGTGTGTGTCTATGGGACAGCAGTGTAGCATAGTGGTAGGGAGCAGGGCTCATAACCAAAAGTTTGGTAGTTTGATTCCCTACTAGGGCACTGCTGTTGGACCCTTGGTCACAGTACTTCACCCAGAATTGCTTCAGTAAATATCCAACTGTATGGATAAAATTTGATAAAATTGTAACCTATTGCATCTACGTGGCTCTGGATCAGAGCTTCTGCTAATGTAACGTAATGTAATGTGTGTCTGTGTGTTTTAGGGTTAGGGTTAGTATATATCCAGCTATATAAATCAATAAAATCATAACCTGCTGTATGTAAGACGCTCTGGTAAGACGCTCTGAGCGTCTGCTAAATGACAGTAATGTAGTGTACTGTAATGTAACGTAACGTAATGTACTGTAATGTAATGTAACGTATTGTACTGTAATGTAATGAAATGTACTGTAATGTAATGAAACGTAATGTAATGTATGTGTAATGTACAGTGATGTAACGTGCTGTAATGTAATGTAATTTGTCTCTGCAGTGCTGGGGAAGGTGCGCAGTGCGGTGGGCAGTGCTCAGCTCCTCATGTCTCAGAAGTTCCAGCAGTTCAGAGGGCTCTGCGAACAAAACTTGGTGAGTAATCTCTTCCGCCCCGCCCCCAACCCCCGACACGTCACATGACCGGCCTCGCCTGAAAAAGGCACCCTACGTGGACAGTTCCGCTGAGGAAACTTTGAGGGAGGCCGCTCGGGAGTATGAACAGGCCTTTGCGGATGCAGTGTGTGTTCCCTGTTTTCCTAACTCAATCAGAGCAGGAGCAGGCGGTGTTAGGGTGTTACCCCCAGGTTTGTTAAAACTTCAGCTCTCTCCAGTTGAGCTGTCACCAGGGTGACGCAATGCCATGATGCTTCTCATTAGATTTATGTTTTGAAAATCGTCCAACATCCTTTTAAAGCTAATTATGCATGCGCAAGGTAAAACTGGTCTGACTTTGCCACGTGTCACAACCTTGTGTATCAAAAACATGAATGAATAAAGGAATGTCTCGGAGTGCTGAAGTCTTTTAAGAGCAGATGGCTGTCTGTCAGGAGGTACAGCTGGACACGGACTGGACTGGACTTAGGGAGCTTATCTACAGAGGGGGTGACGAGGAAGATTAATAGACCCCCCAGCTGGCTGTGACCCCTGACCCCTTCAGACACTCCGCCCTGCCTGCCCCGCCCCTCTGATTCATTCCGGGTTCTGGAATGAGCTGAAGGCTCCACCGGAATCGCTTGCTCCGAGCAGTATGAATCTAGGCCCACTGAAATGGGTTTCCTCATTCCTGCCTGTCATTAGTTCACTCCACTAACTTATCTTTAAAATCTGCATAACCTTGTCGCCCAAACGGTAGCTTCCACTGAACAGGCAGCATAACATTACATTACATTCCTTTAGCTCTGCTTTTATCCAGAGCGACTTACAGTACAAAATAACAGAAGTGTATCCATTCAAGTTGAATGAACCACGGAGTCAGACCAGACCAACAACACTCCTAGACCAGTGAGTGTGAGCATAACACCGTTCAAGCCCTACCACAAGTTAATCTGTGCAACCTGGCTAGACAAGGGAAGCCGAGAATACTACCATACGTCAGTCACTAGATCAGTGCCAAGTAAATCCGCTCCAGTCAAAAACCTCCATGCCGCCTTTTCCTTCCCCCCCCACGGTTCTCGCTTTAGCAGCATTATGCGTGAGTGAGTCAC